AGGTCAATTTTTAGATCTTTTAGGAATCGCCACACTGTTTTCCACAGAGGCTGTAGTAGTTTACACTCCCACCAACAGTGTAAAAGTGTTCCCGGCATCTGTTGTTTTTCGAGTTATTGATGATGGCCATCCTGACTGGCGTTAGATGGTATCTCAGTGTTGTTTTAATTTGCATTTCTTTGATGACTAGTAAGGCTGAGTATTTTTTCACATATCTATTGGCTGCTCATATATCTTCTTTTGAGAAGTGTCTATTCATATCTTTTGCTCACTTTGTAATGGGGCTGTTTGTTTTTTTCTTTTCAGCATGTGGCAGAGAGGGGCTAAAAACAGTTAAAATTATTTTTTGTTTTAAATCAACCAGCAAGCTCCAGACCTGCTAGACATGGGGCTTGAGAAAACCAAATAGCCAAAGGTCATTTTCCTGAAAATGCAAGACAGTAATCTATTCACAATCTTACCCCAACATCTTCTCTTTGTAAATTTATCAGTTTACAACCCCTGCTTGTTATGTATACCCTGAAGACAATTTGTTCTTTGACAATCTGGTCTTGCTAAATACAACTTTGCAAATTCCCAAGAAAAATGTATAGCCATATAACCTGATCCCCTCTCTTACCTAAACTAACAGATAAAACCCCTCTCCTCTTTCTCTGGGTTGCTCAGCCTTGGAGCATTAGCCCATTGAGTCACTAATAAATCGCTACTTCCTAAGATAACTTCGGCGTCACAGTCTCTGTTTTCCCGCAACAGGCACGTTTAAGTTCCTTTAGATCCTAGATGTTAGGCCTTTGTCAGATATACATTTGGCAAGTATTTTTTTCCAGTCTGTGGACTGTCGCCCCACTCTTTTCTTTGGTTTCTTTGGCTTTGTAGAAGCTTGTCAGTTTGATGAGGGCCCACTTGTCTATCTTATTTCTTATGGCATGGGCACTTGGGGTTTTGATCAGGAATTGGTTGCCAGTTCCAATTTCCATAAGGGTGGCTCCTGCATTTTCTAAGATTTCCATAGTTTGAGGTTTTACATTTAGGTCTTTGATCCATTTAGAGTTGATTTTTGTGTATGGTAATAGGTAGGGGCCTTGTTTTAATCTTCTGCATGTATTTTCCCAGCACTATTTACTGAATAGTTTCTCCCCAGTGGTTGATGGTGGAGGCTTTGACAAAGATAAGTTGGTTGAGAAATTGAGGTTTTGCTTCTGGAATCTCTATCCTATTCCATTGGTCTATATGCCTGTTCTTGTACCAATGCCAGGCTGTTTTTATTATTATTATTATTATTATTATTATTATTATTATTATTTGAGTTGGAGTCTCACTCTGTCCCCCAGACTGGAGAGCAGTGGCACACTCCCGGCCACTGCAGCCTTGA